TACAGTTCCCTTATCTGGAACTTCAAGTGACTTCTAAGAAGGTTCTTAGCGGCCACACCAGATGTTGCAAATTCCATAAAGCAGGATCGACACCCTCAGGGCTCTCTCAAAGCTAATTTACTCTTGTTTTATATAAAGTTCTAATAAACCTGGCTCTCTCATCTTCTAGCTCCTTGCTGCTGAAAGTGGGGCTCACGGATCAGCATCGCCTGGGTGCCTGTTAGGAACGCAGAATCTCAGGCCCCACCCTAGACCTATGGAATCAGAATCTGCACTTTGACAAGATCTCTGTGCACACGCACACGTGTGTATGTGTGTTAAAGCAAATTAGAAGAGACTTGAAGGGCCTAGGCCCACTCTCAATTATTGATTTAGGTACTGTACTTCATTACAAAAAGGATTTGGGATGACTAGGATTAATAGCTTATAAGGAGAGAGGAGACAAAGAACATAAAAACCATAGCAGCTGGGATCATTTAATATAGTTATGTTGCTGTATACTCTACTTCTCTAATAAAGAGAAGACTATATTTCTCTAATAAAGAGATAAGTGAGTTACTACGATTGGAAATTTCAGGTAACTCTGATTTTGTTTTTTATGCACAACATTTAGGAGACTCAGATGACATCAAGATAAAGTGTGATACCAGAGTTTTACTCTAAAGCTAAACCACTAGAAGATCTAACCAGTACAACAAAAAGCCCATGACTGTTCAGAGCCAGGTAAAATTTTCTGGGTCAGTAAGAATTCAGTTTTCATTTTTCCATTTGCTAGATACTGACAACTGATCTTCAAAACCACTAAGACAGGAAAATGGATTGGAAACCCAAATGAGTTTTTAATTAACCAGGAAAGTTAGTGCCCTGTTCTGGATAAGTGAGCACTGAAAGTGCCGTACCCTAGCTGGTGGTCCTTGGGAGTGTTGCTGGAAACTCTGCTGAGACCGGACAAGTGCACAGGTGGCTAAGGGTGGAGCTGGGGTTGATCAGATGGCCAAGGCCAGGGAGAGGCTGAAACCAGTAGGGCCAGCTACCCAGCTGAAATTGCCAACCTAAGAAGGATACACAGAGAAGGGAGAATCAAGGCACAGAGCGGGGATGAGAATGCAGAAAAGAGCCAGGTTGTAGTCAAAAACTTGGCAGATTTTTATGGAGATTGCAGCACAGGCTGAGAAGGTTTAAGGGCTCTGACCAAGATCAGACCAGCTAAGGTCTCCTTTCCCTTGTTTACACTCTCTGCCTGTGAGCATTACAATTGAGTGGAACCTTATTGCCATGATAATACAAAGAAAATCTACCAATGATTTGATAGCTGGATCTTGAAAATAAACAGCTGCATGGTACCAATTTTATTATATAAAGCAAGGTTTATATAAACAAAATGGCTTAAAACTCATTTGGCAAGAATCAAATATTTTCCATTTATTCTAGAGACATTTGTAGAGTGCTGTGGCTTTGGTGGAAACAAAATAAATCATCATCACAGGATAGAATTAATTAATTGCCTGAAATAATTTCAAAGCTATTAAGTGAAAGATCCTCTCTTTATCAATGGCATTATTTTTTCAATCAGCAGGTCTCTAGACTTTGGAAACCTCATGGACTTTTGGCTCATCTCTGTCCTGTGCGCTGCTAGGAATCTTATTTCTACTCACCTTGAAGACACCCTAATCCCAAGCCTTGCCACTTAACTCCTGAGTTTCAGCAGCAGTCTTAGAGCAGGCCTTCTTAATTTCCCTCCATCCTACCTTTGCACAGTGGTCTGTTGTCTCTACTACTATCTGTCATCTATACCACAATGAATTTTACTGGGGAATGTGACTTATTACATACTACTGCCTTATTGTGTTAGTCTTGAGTAACCAACTAGAATGAAGAACCCACTAGAGAACAGGAACCTTGTTTTTTACATTTATACCTTCTGTAGCACCTAACATAATCATTGATATGTGGTATATTGCTTCCTACTGTAAGTCTTCCATGACCTAGATCTGGGCTAATATACATCTCTTCACAACTGTGACATCTTGCTATATCCCAGTTACATTATAGAGCATTACGACTGGCTGCATTATAAGCATTCCCTTTTGTATCCCTATAGACTGCACTTTATGAGAGCAGGCTCCACATTTATCTGATTTATCATTGACCCTCTGGTACCTAGTCCAGGTCTTGATATATAGTATGTGCTCAATAAATATTTTTAAAATTGATTGAATGATTAATAATTTTAAAATGTGTTTGGTTATTAGTATCGTTGATGTAAGATAGTTAAGGAGACTGGGATGAATAGACCAAATAGCATCCACAGCATCGTAACACTTTGGTTGACTTGGCTTCAGGTATGACAGATTGACATAATCTAAACATTATAATGATCCAGATAACTAGCATTTGGTTGTATATGCAACTGTGTAATTTTCAAGTTATTTTCTATACGTGTTTAATTGTCTATAAAATTCCAGCTCCTGGAGTGCAAAGGACAGCATTTTTTACTTCTACATATCTGCCACATATCCTACCTCAGTGACTGTTTCTGGAGTTGATGTCATTAAATGTAGCTTTAAAAAGAGCCTGTGTTCTAATGTATCTGCCTACTGCTAAACATCTGTTGCTTCCTAACAAGTGCTGCATTCATTTTAATGGCACTGGTGCACAGAGGTAAACAGAGCCTTGGCAGGCCTTCCATAAGGGAAACTGTGTTTGCTTCCTTCATTAATTACTAATGGAGCATTAAGACATGCATTCCCCCTTGAGCCAAGTTGGATAATTCCTGGCACTTAATGCTAGGGTGCTTTCAAAAGTTGAGACATGTATTGACACACCAGAGAGCATGCCTTATACCAAGCACAGTGGTGGCTATAGTGCCAAGATTATACAAAGCTTCAAACATACTGTATCAATACCAAGTGTCCTGATATGTTTCTTTAGTCTTTGCAGCTTTTCGGCTAATGGAATAATAAATATGTATCCCCAGAATATCTCTGAAAGCAGCTACCACAGTGTGAACTAGACGAATCATCAGAAAAATACAGAAAACTTAAAAGTAAAAGGTTGATCAAAAATTTACCAATCAAACACAAATCAATGGAATGAGAATGACAAGCTAATAGAAGAAAGGTGAATCAAAGTAGGACTTGTCAATTAGTTTTTATTTAACAGCCAATTACTAACACAATTAAACTGAATTTATGCCCTTGGACATGCCAGCTAGCATAACATCAAAATGATAAAGTGAAAACAGTAAGAAACAAAAGAGCTGACAGATACTTATTGATAGTAGCATATTTTAACATATAGCCATCAGATTATGATAGATTAAAGAGATAAAATATGACTAAGGACATAAAAGAATATAATTAACAATGTTGACTGACTGGCTACATGTAGGCGTTTATGGATTATATAAAATACCTTATTTCAAATATTCACATGGAAAATTTACAAAAATAATGATATGGTAGTACAGAAAGGAAATGCAATTTTTTTAAATGCAGAAATCTTACAGGCTACCCATTTTCATATTAAATGTAAACAAACAAAGCCAAAATGTAAACAAACAAAAATAAACAACCCAGCCACTTGGTGGTGTCTGAGTTTGGGGGCTAGAGGAATTAAAGAAGGTAAGATTGGTCTTTTAAGGTTAAACTTTTATCAAACATAATAAATGAAGACAGAGTGATGCAGAATCATTTCAAAGAGACAATTTAATGCTCAGGACATTGAGATCTAGCCATGATCCTACTGTATATATTAACATTCTCAGAGGGAAAAAAAAAGTGTCAATCCAAAGGAGAGCTGGGACAGCCAAAAAAATTAAAGCAAGTGCCAGTGTCCATCCAGGAAGAAGGTAGCCTCATCCAGCTGGACTTAAATAATCTGGCCTGTTGGCAAGACCATCTCCTTGTGGCAGTGGAAGCATGGAGTTATTATTTCCCAATTTGGCTCAATCTCGTGCACACCAAGGCACCTTTTGATTTTGAGTTGGCCTCTCCTGTATAGGTCTGTGTACAGAGTTGGTTGTACGTTAAGGGAGCTCTGAGTGTGGGGCTACTATGCCCAACAGAGTTTTTAAATATGAAGTCCTGCTAAGAAATAGTCTGCTATGGTGCTGGAAAAAGAAACTTTTTGAAACTTACAGGATGTTAAGGCTACAAGAAAAGGAAGAGTCCAGAAATTGATGTGCATTTGTATGTATAGTAAAGCAGGTTATGCAATATAAGTTGTTCTTAATCGCTGCTATGTCTTGGTGCTCAGAGCAGGTTTTGATATGTTTGAGGCACTCAAATATTTGTTGCAGGCATGAAATAAGTGGGAAAGGACAGAATTATTTAACACATGTTGGTGGGATAATTGGTTAACTATTTCATATACTTTAAAATAACTAACATATTGATTGAAGAGTTCATGTAAAAAATAGAAAAATAAAAATATCCAAATGTTGGTAATACTTCTGAAGGGGTGACAACTTTGTAAGCTTAGAAGGCTGAGAAGAAAGCACAAAGGAGAATAAAAATGACAAATCTGACTTTATAAATATTAAAAACTTATGTTAGTATAATATTATAATAACCAGAATTCCAAGTCAGAGAACATAGGAAAATATTTGCAAAAAATGTCACAGCCAAAGGCCTGATATCTTTATTATAAAAGACGTTCCTACAAATCAATAAGAGAAGCAATAAAATTCCAAAAGCATAAACAGATAACTCACGAAGAGGAAATCAAAACAAGTAAATAAACACATTGGAAAATATTTGACTGAGCTGGTAATCAAAGACATTCAGATTACATTTTTCTAAATTTGTGATATATGTATACAGTATATGCCTGTTTCTGCAATTAAATTTCTAAACCCCTAGAGGGCAAGAACTGTTTCATTTATTTTTCTCTCTCCACAGCATAGAGCACAGTGCTTTGCCTGTATGATATGCCCGAATAAATATTAGTTGAAATGAATTGAATTGCACTGCAATGAACCACTTCTGATTCCCTGGCAGGTGGAGCGCATGAAGGTCTGCAGCATTTGGGTCCTTTTGGCAACATCCCCAACATTGTAGCAGAATTGACTGGTGACAACATTCCTAAGGACTTTAGTGAGGATCAAGGCTACCCAGACCCTCCAAATCCCTGTCCCGTTGGAAAAACAGGTAATGAACACAACCTTGGGTTCCAATGGAAAGTAGAGGCTTTGGGGGAAATAGATATTCTAACTCTAGCTACAAAATATTCCCAGAAACTGTATTTCTCTTCTGATAAGTCCATATGTATTTGTAAGTAGATGGGAAAGGAGCATTTATTGTAGAACCTTTGTGTAAGTTCTGGTGTTCAGATACACCCACATAGAACTCCCTTTGCCAAGAAGATAAGGCTTTATCTTTTTTCTGTCTCTCTCCTTTTCAGGGAATTGATGCTCTTTTCTGTAGTTGCTACTCTTTTCATTAAAAGGGAGAATGATTTTTTTTTTTTTTACCTCTTTTATGATACAACTGCTGCTCATTTTAGTGTCTTTGGAATTGGTTATTTAATTTGTAGATTATCCATGCCTGTTTGTTTTCCTTACTTCTCTTGACAATAGACATTTTAACTATGTCACACATCAACACCCAGTTAGCATCTATCCTAAACTCCTGTTTATTGGGGGGCCAGAAGGTGCCATGAAAGAGAAGGGGGCTCAGGAAGGTAAGAAGTTGGTTAAGGAAGAAGGTTGAAACTTTCCACGCTACTCATGTATCCTTTATACTTTCCTACCCACTAATGCCAAAGAGAATGGTGAGTAGGCTACACTTAACGTTGGGTCTTTGAGCTGCTTACCTGAGTGGTTAAGAGTAGTGGCTCTAGCTTCAGACTACCTGAGTTCAAACTCAAGGTCAACCTACGTGACTTTGAACAATTAATTAGCCACTTTGCACCTCACTTTCCTCGTTTGTACAATGGAGGTCATCATGGGAATTAAATGAAATTATCCATGTAAAGCATTTAGCATAGTACCTAGCATAGAGTAAAGACTCATTAAATGTCATCCTGATTATAATTAGCTTTGCTACTAGTAAATAAGGCACCTCTCTCTTTCGGCTTGTGCTAACTTCTAGCACCAGAATAGTCTTTTTCCCTGAAATAATAATATTAATATTGTTAATAATAATTATAGTTGGTATTTACTATCTCTACTTTACATTAAGGAAACCAAAGTTTAGAGAGTAACTTGCTCAAGGTTATCCAGGTAAAAGTAGCTGAGCCAGACTTAAGCTCAGATCTACCTGATTCAGGACTATGAATTCAACCACCATGATATATTGCCTTGCTCTGAAAATTGTGACAGTATTGGTCTCTCAGCTTTTCTTAAACACAGTGTAGGCTCTCTCTGAAAGAGACTCTCTAAAAGAGAATATTCCTCTTTAAACTGAGGGTGAGGCCTCAGTTTTCCATGGGGAACAGAGCTTCTCTCATATGCAGACTGCCTGAACTCTCTGGATTTGGGATTCCTTTCCTATATGATAATTGCTATAGACATAGAAGTTAGATAAATAGCTCAGTGAAAAGTGGGGAGCCACATTAGGGATTTGTTCAGAAAGCTAATGGCTTCCATGCTAACTTCATGCTGTTCAGAGCTTAGAGACTGAATGGTTAATGCTGCTGGAAGGCCTGGGAGCAGTCTCAAGAGCTGGGCAACCTGGCTTATTGTAAATAGACCCCCTTTCAGCATTGACTTTGATGCCTTATATCCCTTTGAAATGGGACCCCCTTCCCTCCCCCAACACTGCACAAAATCTACAATCTCTCCTTGCCCCCCCTTTTTATAGCTGTTGTCTAAAGTGCATTAGAGATAGGAAAAAAGTGACTCGTTTTTAGAGCATTGTGCCTAGTAATAATAGGCTTAGGTAAAAGCAGCAGCCAAGTAGGATAACCTTGGTTTGAATGGAAGACATGCTTTATTTCAAAGAGCAGTCATAGTACGAATTGTCATTTAAAGGGAGATGGTTAGAAGGCAATTATTATGTGCCAGGTTCTCTCTGTATGTTGGTCTCTGTTCCTCATGGCAACCCTATAAGTATTTGATTTTTCATGTCTCACAGGTGAATAAATGGATTAAGAGAGGCTAAGTTAACTTTCCCAGGGAACTAAACCTATCTGGGATTTGATCCTTGACCTCTGATCTATCTGACACCAGAGCTTAAGCCATTACTGGTATAACACACAATATCAGGTATTACCTGGTGATTGTTGTTAATGTACTTTCTCCAAGAAGCTGAAGTGGTTTCTAAAAAGCTCACTTAAGAGAGTGTCATGTGGAATGGAAGTGTATTATTTAAGGAAAGACTTGCTGCTATAACAGATTAAAAATTGTGGTGGATTAGCACGACAGAAGTATATTTCTCACTCATGCGAAGTCCCGCCAGAGATGAATGAGGTTGTGGTGGGGGTGAATGGTTCTGCAACCCATACTGCCAACTTCACACTTGACACTCAGAGTTGTCCAAGTGGGCAACATGCAGCAAGCGGACTAGCAGGTGTGGATGGCCGAGGGGCAAGGAGAGCATCACATGGGAATTTTTTAGGGGCCAGGCCTGGGAGTGGAATTCATCACTTCTGCCCACATTCTATTAGCCCAAACTTAGGCATACAACTCCACCTGATTGCAAAGCAAGGCTGGGAAATTAGCTGTGTGCTGAGGGGAAAAGAGAAGTGGGTTTGGTCAACAGCTAACGGGTCTCTGTCACATTAGTGGGAGTTTGGATGAGCAGTCCCATCCAACAGGGAGACTGGCTCCCAAAGGGAAAGTGACTTAGAGTGGCAGATGTAGATAGATTCTGCCTTTGGATGTTTAGTTGTTTTTGATAAATTAACTCTTATTATAACAATGAATGCCTTGACCATTCCTCAAAAACCTTTGGCTGTTTGCAGTAGATGATGGATGTCTAGAAAACACCCCAGACACAGCAGAGTTCAGTCGAGAATTCCAGTTGCACCAGCACCTTTTTGATCCGGAACATGACTATCCAGGCTTAAGCAAGTGGGTAAGTCCAATCTCAATTGCTAGTAGATTTTGCATTTTGTTACTCTGAAAATATTAATGGCAGAGATAAGCAATATGGGTGGGGCAAAAGAAGAAAAATTGTTTAGAAACTGATTTTTCAGAAATCTGTGGTTGAGGAGTGATTATCATTCTAAACCACGCTAATGTGTGTAGACAGCAATCTACTATATCCATCCAGAGAGAGAGCAAGCTAAAGTGATCTCATCAGCTACAGTCTCCAGAGGCTTCTACTCTGGTCTACTCCACAGCCTGTGTTGAAACACATCCTAAAGTCTCCCCAGTGTTTCATGCAACTCTTATAGGATTTCATCAAAAGTGTATGGTTTTTTTAAAAAAGGATACTGAGAATACTTGCAAATTTGATCTCTAAACTAAGGGAGATGATCCCTGCCGAATCAAGGAAAAAAGATGCCAGTGCTTAGAAACAGACATATGTAATTCCACATTACAGAAATAAAAGAATTTCCAAAATTTGTAGCAGTGAGCTTGCTGTCAGTCCCAGGCAAGTAGGTATAGCTCAGTTGTTTATAAGCATTTAATCACGACCGTTTGGCATCGGTGTGCTAAAAACAAGTCTTGTCAACCTAATTGTACGAGGGAACCAAAAAGCTCATGGAAAGATTTGCTTTACCTTTCAATTCTATTTTTACATGAACTTTCTGAAGTACCCTCATATTCTTCCATTTGCCAGCATTGTTCATTTCCTTGCCAGCTTGATGAGAGAAATGAAGTGGTCATGGTGCTTTTGGACTTCAGCAAAATATTTAACAAGATCTTTTATGATCTTCTGTTGGAAGAGATGGAGAGAGACAGCCTAGGCAATAGAATAGCACCAACAGGAAGCTTGTTAAAGAGTCCATGTCAACTGGGAGGGAGATGTCACATGGTATCCTTCATGTCTTAGCACTATTCCACTCCACATTTTATCGGTGTTTGTAAGAAAAATACAGAACATGTACTTATCGGATTGTCAGAGGATGACACAAAGTTGGACGAGACAGCACTGGATGACAGAGTTGGGATTCAGGAACATCCAACAGGCTGGAACAATGAGCCAAACAAGATCAAAATTGAATGTTGATAGATCCAGGTTCCTGTGGTTTGGCCTAGGTAATCAAATGCGGAAACCACGTGACAAAAGAGGGGAATTACTTAGGACTGTTAATTCTCATATAAAAGTAAATGGTCAATAAATAGGTGAAATGAGTGAACTGATGAGTGAATGAGTAAAAATTCCAAACTGCCTAAGCCCTTCTAAAGTTCTTGATCCCGTCTCAGCTCAGTTGACCTTGCTTCTTACTTCAGTGGGTCTATTGAAATCTCAAAATTAAATTCCCTCACTTCCTTCTGTACTGTTTTAGGGAAGGATGTCCCTTCTCATTCATGACCACTTGATTTTTTCCAGCATCTTGCTTTGCATTGAACAATGCAATTCCCTCTACCTTCAACACAGAGACATTTCTCTTCTTAAAACAACAAATCAAGAACATTTTCTTCTTCCAGTTTGCATTACTCTATTTCTTTTCTTTTTCATAAGCACTCCTGTTAGGAAGAATTGGTCTGTGGAGCCATTTTCAAGCCTAAAATAGAGTTAAATATGTTGAATTAAATAGAAAAACATCTAGATTCTCCAATAAGAGACTGAAATCATGAAAGCCTTCTGTAAAAGAAGTTATCCTGGTGGCATATTAAAGGATGGAATAGAGCGAGAAGAGAATAAATGCAGAAAATATGAAAAGCAATTCCAGTTATGACAACTATGAATATAGTAAAGAAGGGTGAAGATCCAAGACATTTCAAAGGGGGAAAAACTAAGGGGAGTTGGTATACAGCCTAAATTTAGCATGAGGAAGAAGGAAGTGATATGTCAGGTTCATATGAAATGGACAGTGTGAGCTTTTCCTCTGAAGTCTCAGGTGGGAAGGTATCCAGCTTACCTGGGAGGCTAGAAAGGAGAGAAAGCAGGAAAGAGTGAGGCCGAGAAAAGGTCTGAATGAGGGCAGGGAGCCCAGCTGGTGGTGTGACGGAGTGGGAGAGATGAAAACTTCTCTTTCCAACTTTCCTCATCTCCTATTGAAAACCTTCACAGATTTCTCTCACCAAGTTCCACTCACTCCCAGCACTCCAGTAAAAGGCCACCCACTGCCCTTCATTCTCTTTGCTTCCTTCTCTAAACACTGACTAGTGTTTCAACATTAGAGCTCAAGACTAGAACTTAGGACTCTGTGTAAAAGGAAAGTACTATTACAGATCAATGGCCAGGAACAATGTTTACACAGCTTTTATCATCTGTAATTGTGTGTTTGTTTAAACTCAAGTTTCCTTGTTTATTTTCTCATTACCACCTAGTAGTAAAACATTATTTGCTTGATCTTCACATGGAGTGTGAATTGAGTATGTCTTGCTTTTCTAAGCCGGGACCCACAAACTCTCCTCAATGTTTATGCAGAATGATAGTCTCAGGCTTGTCTTCAGCTCAGCCATGCTTTTAGTTAACAAAGTAATCATCTTTCACAACAGAACTGCACACAAGACCTTGCTTCCTTGTTTGCTAATAATGCTTCCCTGTTTTTGACATTAGCTGGAGCTGAGCTGCGTCTTTAGCAGTGATTCATGTATTATAAATGTCAGCGTCTGTCTTGTTTCCTGCATTTTTCTCTCTTTGTTAATGCATCAAGAAACATTTATTAAATGCATATCACATGCCTCCTGGGTCCTGTGTTAGGTAATGGGAATACAAAGATGAATGATAATAGTAATTGTATTATATAATACAGTAGTAAATAGTAATTTATTGAGCACATAGTATGTGCCAGATACTATGCTAAATACTTTGCCTCAATTATCTCATTCCATCTGCTTGTCCTTATCACTCTCATTTTACAGGTGAGAAAATACAAGCTTAGAGAGATGAGTAGCCGGCTCAACAACACAGAGCTTATGACTGGCAGAGCTGGTATTTGAACTCTATTATCTGACTCCAGAGTTCTTCAGAAATTGAATAAATTTTCTATCTTTTCGTGGCTCGTCACTCATAATGTGTCCTGTGCATCAGTCCTGTCAAGTCCTATCTAGGACTGGTTGCCATTCAGAAAATGTGGGTGACTACAGCACTGAGGGGCTATAACCAATGGCTGGCTACTGTAGATATCAGTCACCCCCTCCTTTACCCATTTGTTAATGAATGTTATTCACTTAGCAAATGTTTCAATTTTCCAAGTGCTTTTTACACCTTTTCATTAGCAGCTGGTCACAGCCAAGACCTGATGAGCCATGGGAGAATTGAGGGACTAGGACCCTCCCTGACTTTGTCCTTCATGACTTAAATATGTTTGAACAGTGGAACGCTCTTCAGTTCGGGTTTGTCTCAGATTTTCATGTGATTAGACAAGAGCTACGTCTTTTTTGATATGTCCTTCTTAGTACTGACATCAGGAAGCACATGACACCTGTTCGTCCCATGACTGGTAGTGTTAACTTGGTTCACTTTGTTAAAGTGGCGTCCACCAGGTTTCTCCAGTGTAACATTACCATTGTCCCTTTGAAATTAATAGTTAATCTGGGGAAGATGTTCTGAGACTGTATAAATATTCTGTTCCCTGCTAAATTTGTAACCAACAAATTTAACATCGGTTGATGACACTTACTAGAGTCAATTATAACTGTGGTAGTTGCAAAATGCATTACCAGTTGGCCTTCTTTTTTTTTTTTCCTTTTTGTCTTTTTTTGTGACCGGGAAGGGATTGCAACCCTCAGTGTCGCGCCCGATGACACTTACTAGAGTCAATTATAACTGTGGTAGTTGCAAAATGCATTACCAGTTGGCCTTCTTTTTTTTTTCCTTTTTGTCTTTTTTTGTGACCGGGAAGGGATTGCAACCCTCAGTGTCGCGCCCGATGACACTTACTAGAGTCAATTATAACTGTGGTAGTTGCAAAATGCATTACCAGTTGGCCTTCTTTTTTTTTTCCTTTTTGTCTTTTTTTGTGACCGGGAAGGGATTGCAACCCTCAGTGTCGCGCCCGTACCGGACCGGGACCGGCAACAGGATCGCAACCCTCGGTGTGGTGCCCGCACCTCGCTCAGCCAGTAAGCGGCCGGTCTGTATGTGGGATCCGAACCCTCGGTGGGAGCGCCGCCGCGCTTCCCAAGCGGCGCACTGTAGCAGTGCGCCACCGGGCCGGCCCCACCAGTTGGCCTTCTACTCTAAGCAAGTTTCTCCTTCCTCCCTATTTATTTATTTATAAATATATCAGTTTGAAAATGGATCCCTAGATTCCGCCAGTGGGAGTCTCTTCAAGCTGGCTTTTCTTTCCTTTTGACATGATCCCGTCGTTCTTTTGAGCTTCCTTACTTTCTAACCTAATATACTCCAACTTCATTCATCCTTGTACTTTCCCTGCCTTAGCCCTGAATCAGACATTTCTTTATGAAGACCCCCTGGTTCCATTTAGAAACAGAATTTGAAACCAGGATCTGGGCAGTTGTCCAAAATCTTGATGACACACTGGAAAGTCCTTTTAATGAACTCAAACCTGCTATTCATATGGAAAACAGGCTCACCACTCCCGCAAGGAATCAATAAGGCATCAGTGTCAGGACAGGTGGCTGATTTCTTCTCATTCAGTTTTTATACTTCTCTCACCCACACTATACCTGCCAATTCCTGCCTTTAAGTCCGTACAATAGCAAGACTAATTGAGAATGTCCCAGCCACATTCATACAGGGGTGGGGAAGCATTATCCCGCCAATCATAACTCTAGCTCTTAGGTAACAAAGAGACCATCTTTGAGATCTCCCAGACCTTTCGTATTGTTTGTTTGTTTGTTTGTTTTGAATGAAGGCCCTTATGGGTATAATCTGCCACAAGATCTTGTAAAGAAGATTAAAATGATGCTGCCTTTACCCTTCTGGTGGCACAGCAGAACTCTGCCAGGGCTGGTTGGCAGTCCCACCCCATGGTACCAGCTCTGAGGCCCCTCTGCACTCCCTGCAATTCAGGCCGCTGACCACAAGGTGCACGTGAAGAAGCCACTGTCCTCCCTGCTTTCCTCGGCCTCCCTCTCCAGCTCTGGCATAAACTTCCAGAACATTCTCTGCACATCAGGAGTCATTACATTCGCAGAAAGACAGCCACAGACCGAAGGGAATGAGTCTCACAGCAATATCCTCATTCCTCAAGGGAGCGATCTGCAAGTCTGTCTTTTCTCCCTTCTGATATTAAATTGATCCATTCCCCAAGTGAGCAGGAGATAGAGGCTGCAGCCAGTTCCGGCATTTTTGACAGTGGAAGCTCCTTTACTCCTGGCACAGCCTCCCTGCATAGTTGAGGTTGGGCAAGAGAAACACATTATAAATTGTAGGTGGAGTGGATTTTAATGAACATGAAGATGATGAAGTTCATTCTTGGCATTTGTCATTTCCACTTCCAAATCTACCGTAATAAAAAAATAAACAAATAAACTCTTTATAACCAGACAGCTAAGATGATATGTGTTGTATAAATTTCTTCCTGACCAGAACTTTATCATCTCCTTTTTTTTTTCTAATCAATGTCAGAGTATTTTATTTAGGCCAAGATGAATCACCTCTTTTACACATTATTTCCCTTCTGATTAAAAAGAAATCACATAAATAAAACAACACAAGTGATATGGATTGAATTGTGTCCACCAAGCTTTATGTATTAGAAGCTTGATCTGCACTGTGACTGTTGAGAGGGTGGGAATTCCTATTATGGTAATTGAAAGGTGGGGCCTTGAAGAGGTGATTAGATTGTGAGGACCATGCCTAGTAGATTAAAAATGGTAGTCAGGGGCATGGTTCCAAGGGCTTTAAAAGGAGAGCACTTGAGAGTCTCTCTCTCTGCTCTGCCATTTCTGCCATGTGAGACCGCTGGGTCATTGTCACCACAACCAAGGCCTTTGCCAGATGTGTTCCCTGGACTTTGGACTTCCCAGTCTCCAAAACTGTAAGCAATAAATTTCGTTTTTGTTATAAATCACCCAGTTTCAGGATTTATGTTATAAGAAACAGAAGTGCACTAATACAACAAGTAAAGCCCCCCAAAACCCCTTCTCCCATTCTGCCTTCAGGTTAAGTGTTCTGTCTTTTATAATATCAGTAGAAGGGAAATCTGTTGAGCATGTGTCTGATATTCTAGAAATCATTGAAGTCCACTATGTGTTTGAAATCCAGCAATATGTGGAAGTACTTATACAAACTGTGGTAACAGAGCCCTTTTTTTCCCCCAACATAACTTTCCTTTCTGCCAAGAAGTTTTTTGGCAGTTTTTAAAAGGTTCACTCTATTAAAATGTTATAGACCAAATGGTTTTCCAATTGTCTTGACTGGGGGCACAGAAAGAATGGTTGCAGAAGTCAGAATGTCTTGTTTATTTACACAGAGGATTGTTGTTAATAGTCAGACACTACTTTAGAGAAGTTTATGTGTACAGTTCATAAAGAGGGAATTAGATACAAAAATAAAATGAGATAAAATTAGCTGCTTTAAACAAAGGCTGTTCAAAGTGAGGGGTGGGTTTCCAGTGCCCCTTGTGTTTTGGAATGTTGTATTTTCCTGTTTATGTGATTGTTGATGACACTGGTGTGCCTCAGGGCATTGCAGAGGACTTTATTGAAAGCTACACAACCACCAGCTTTTCTCTTGCGGTCTATCTTTCTGACAGCACATTCCTCTCATCTTCTCTTGTTTCCAAAATATGTGTATGCAAATATCCAGGGGACACACCAAGCACTACTTTTAAAATAGGCATTCACCAAATTTGATCCATACTTCTGAACTTGTGTTTTCTTTTCTCCCCACTCTAGAACAAGAAACTCCTTTATAAGAAGATGAAGGAAGGACAAAGACGAAGGCGGAGGGTAACACGTGGCTGGCCGGGTTGTTGTTGGGATGCTTGGAGCTTTCTGGGCGGGGCAGTTGACAAGCTAGAACCCTCAGTTATTAGAAAGCAGCAGAATCCCGTGCAGTCCTGAGAGGGCAGAGCAGTGGTCCTGTGTGACAAGGGCCATGCCTGGAAAGTCCACCCTTGGTTTCTGTGATGGCTTCCCCAAGCCTCAGCACAGGATTTTTAGTGGAACACCCAGTTTTGTGGTGGCCCCATCACCTCCATTCCATTCAGGGGATGTGTACTGTGTCCCTTCCATCTGGCTAGGAAATGCGGGGAGTCCATGAGGATATGTCTTTCCTCATAAAGTCTGTAGGCCAGAGGGGAAAACTGCTCACACATCTGCACCAATGATCTAAAAACACAAGACAGGACTAAGGAAGGGCTGAACTGCATGCTCCAGGCAATAATTTTGAAGGAATGTGGGAACAAAATATGAGATGAAGAAACCTCATTCCTCCCACATATCTTTTTTTGGGCCTCTCCAGATTGATGTAAAATCTACTAGATCTATAATATTTGTTTGCTGACTGTTGAGTTTACTGCAGACTTAGTTATTAATCCCACAGCCATCCAGGGTGGGACCCTGATCTGGGTGCTCCACATTTAGCTACTACACATGTGGTGTTGCCTCGAGGATGTGAAGCTGAATGATGAATTTGTTTTGGGTTTCCAATGCATTTTATGGCATCAAGACTCAGTAAGTGATCACTGTCCACTCTGATAATCCACTGCTGTCTTACTAGACAGAAGGGCCTGGCCACCTGCCTCTTTTTCTGATCAAATGGATATATTAAAACTAAAATGGCTACAATCTCATAGCCTTCTATTACGTAGTCAAGTGCTGTGAGATATTTACCATTTTAGTTAAAATATACAAGCTAAAACATATACCCAAGGCGACTGTTTATTCAGAATAGCAAGTGCTTGGATCCTGGCAAAATTTGGGAATCTGGGCAATGGTATTTGTGGCTATTTGGAAATAGTTTTGCCAAATCCAGTCACAGCATGCTTTAAGAAGTGTGGATTTTCTGGCCTCGGCATTAATTCTCAGGCCCTCACAACAGAGGGTTCCAAGCCCCTGTGCTGTCTGACAAAACCCAGAAAACCCACGGACAATTTTCTATGTGAGAAGTTGGGATTCTTTACTGTTGGAAACAGATCTTTGGGAGAGTTAACGGGGTTATTAGGGGTTTTTCTTGGTGATTACAGCTTCCAACAGCAGATGGTGACAGGAAGGGTCCAAAGGGTATAATGTGGTCTTGAGAGAACATCAAGAAATTCTATTCTAGGAGCTCAGAATACACATAATTTACCAGTAAGACGGCTTGAATATTTCCCCGCGGCACAACAAGGACATTACCAAATATGACCAATGACTGACCAAAAATGATTAACTTAGCATGAAGCTTTAATTGTCTCTACTTTCTGGCCCACCATTCCTTCTACCCTGACTCAGTGAGTGACTGTGCATCACAATTTAGGTCATTTTTCCACGAGACCAATCATTACCAAAACTCCTAATTCTGGCTAAGACACATGTTATAAAGAATTGTACTTTAGCCTCCACTTCTTCCAAACAGGAAAGGCTTAGAATTTACAAAAATAAGGGTCACTTTGACCTGGAGGTATCAAGTTTTTCCTATTCTTGGGCATCTACAAAGACCTATTCTCAGGCCATAGACCATGGGCCTCTCTTGACTGATGCAGGAAACAGCAGTTGCCTCCCCATAGTCAGGCCTCAGATGGAGTTCCTGCCTTGATTAAAAACTAACCACCCCCTCAAGTGCATGAATCAATATAAAGAAATTATGGGCTTGCTTTTTGAAAAACCAATTTTTCCTCCATTGAAGCTTAAGGAATCAAAAGCAAGGATCCAACCCCAATGGTTCTTCTAATTGTAAAATGGGAATAAAATTCTCTGGGTATCATCCAGTCTCTCACAAGTGAGAAGATAAATATGTAAGTGCCTTGAGTTCTTTGGAGCATAATTAAAACCAACTCTCATTATTATTATTACTCCTAAGTGTTGGATTCAATACTAATATTTAAAAATTTATCAAAAAAGTTCAGTCTTCCCTTCCCTTCCAACCTTTGGCATTTTCTGGGCCTGGGAAGAAGGACTTTGTCCCATTGGAGAAATTACCAATCCCTTACCAAGAGCGATTCTCACCAGAGTTACTACCAAAACCCAAGTGGTTTCATGTGACTTTCTAGACTTGCTCATATTCGATTGAATTCCTAGTTGCTTTACAAATAAAAGGTCAATTCATCTGTAAATGACTTTGCAAACTTTTTAACTCTTAAGCAATCCCATATTTGATAAACATGAACATCTCATATTCTCTTTTAACATATTAGAATTTTCAGAATAAATATTATTACTAAAAAACAAAATACTTATGATATCAAATATACTTTTTCAGTCCACACTTGCTCCATGTACCCAAAGATTCTAATATTTATCCCTTGGGGTAAGTCAAACCACTTTAATTAATAATTCCAAACGGAAAAGTAATTTTTGTTCTACCTTTGTACTGGCCAGCCAAAAAAAAATTTTTTTTAAAGAATTTTTGTTATTTTAAACATTTTTAAGATGACTTCCCAGTATGGTGCTGTCTTTTTGTGTCATCACTTTTCAAGTATATGAGGACATGATGATACTGTTTACTTTGTAATTTTCACCTCGTGATGCATTTTTGCAGAATGAGTTGGACCTTTAAGGATTCATGCTTTTATCAGTCAGTGTATGCAAGAACATATACAAATATTAAATAAACTCAGTTTCCATTTTTTTCTGTTTTGGAGAATGTCTGCTCACCTTTCAAAAGAGACATGGCAGGCAATGTCCCATGGGCAAGAGAGACCCACCTGCAAACTGCCTCCATTCATTCATGGGAATTTAGCATGCAACAGGATTGCTAATCCCTTGTAACTACAACTTCTTTCTTGTATTTTTGTTCCATTATTGGAAGTCAACTTCAATAAACAAATATCTTCCAAAACTTGTGAAATTTTTTCTGCTTGTGGTGTAAAACTCCAATTACTAGTTCAAATCCAAACCTCAAAAAATAGATATGTATTAGAAAATGAATAGAAAAACCTGGACTCATTCAGAATGCCAACAGATTAAAGAGATTGAGTATGGAAAGGGTGGAGTCCCAAGTGAAAAACAAAGTAGTCTTCCAGATAACTTCCTTCCTTTCTTCAGCTTTTGAATTTGACTGAGGGAAGATGGAAATGATTGCTAGAGCCCCTGATGAATTCTCTTTAGAAGAAAGACCAGTCTTTAGATGCTAATTCTCACCTGGCCCCACTCTATCATCTTCTTTAGAGCATTCTTCTTGTACAATAATTTAATGCATTTCAGATTCCCTCTCCCACCTAAACAGGGCCATAGAATACTAATGCTCTTTCATATGGGGCTTGGTATCTAAATTAGTGTCAAGAACTTATTAGCTGGTTCATCCCAAAGCTTTGCACCAAAAGTAAAAATTTTAAGAAAGACCACATTGCATCTGTTAAAGAACTCTTATAGATGTGTGAAAGACACAATTAGAGACATCTATTACTCAGACGATGTTTCATAGGCCACTGAGGTATTAATTAGTGCACTGAAGTAATCATTCTGGTAGGTGGTAGGTACCACTGTTACTGTTGTTAACTCAATAGGCCAGAAACAATTCTTGTTCACTTCTTTTCTGAGATGTCTGTATCTGATGTTCACATATGATAGCAAACCATATTTTTTTTTAGAGTGTCAATCCATATCTACAAGGACAGAGACTAGACAATGTTGTCGCAAAGAAGTCTGTCCCCCATTTTTCGGATGAGGATAAGGACCCAGAGTAAGGAGAAGATGCTGACTGGAATCTCACGCCGCTTTTCAGGCCTTGGTATTGCTTATGTGCACGTGCTGTGAGAGCCCCTGTGAATGGCAGCATGTCTCTTACGTATGTCTGTCCCCCATTTTTCGGATGAGGATAAGGACCCAGAGTAAGGAGAAGATGCTGACTGGAAGCTCACGCCGCTTTTCAGGCCTTGGTATTGCTTATGTGCACGTGCTGTGAGAGCCCCTGTGAATGGCAGCATGTCTCTTACGTATATAATTGTGGATGGAAAGCAGCTGTATTTTGATATGGCATATCTCTTTTGTGCTTCACACTGATGGCTCTGCTTTCTGCTAAATTAGAATAAGAGCTTTTTTTAAAATGTGGCTATGCAATGAGCATTAAAATTAAACATATATGTCAACAACAATAAAAAGCAAGACTATGAAATGCTCAGATTTCTTATGGCTTAAAATGGCATTTGGGGTGTACTATTTGTCTGTAGAAAGCTGGTGTTTGATCTTGATTATGTAGTTCCTCCAGCCCTTGGGCATTGTTACACACCAATAAAGAAAGTTGTTCTCAAGAGAAGGAGCTCACATATTCTACTTGGCTTCACCTTAATAAATGTGCATGCGAGAGTTAGTGTGTGAAGTTTTATTTACAGCATTATAAAAAACAATTTCTTTGTTTAAAAGATCAACCTGATCTACATACAGGATCTTATCTGACCCTAACAATAATGCTGTTAAGTAAATGGGGCCAGTTTTATCCCCATTTTACAGATGGTAGAACTGAGACATGTTCAACAAACCACTGGGAATAATCAGCAAAATCCAGAATGGGGAGCCTCTGAAGGACAAGTAACCTAGCTTTTTTTCAACATGTAAATGGCAGGGGTGCAGTAAAGGTGGGGAACTATTGTAAGTTTTTAAAGACTTGACGGACATATGAACCAAATACAATGTGTGAGAATTGCATTTGTGTACTGACTCAAACAAATCAAATTAAAAACATTGATCGGACAATTGGGAAGTTTGATTAGTGACTGGATATTTAGTGCTATTTAAGTGTTACATGGTTTTATGGCTGTATTTTTTTTTAAAATGATCCCATATCTCTTAGGGATAAATATTTAATTATTTACAGATGAAATGAGATGATGTCTTGGATTTACTTTAAAATAATCCATCGGTGTTTCAAGACTGCAGCTTGGAGTCTCTCTAGGTTTTCAAATATTTCTTCACAATTTGA